CCAGAGAGCCCTGGTTCACTTGCCTTTTCCCAGAAGAACCTTCTTAAACCAGTCCTTTAGAGAGCCTAGTCCTTTCTTGATCTCTCATGGTCTAATCTAAGTGAGCCAGTCTGATGCATTGACTGTGGCCCTTACAGAGCTGGCCAGAGAGAAAGGTGAACAGGCCTCATTGATAGAGCTATGTAAACATGTGTCCACCCATTCCCCATCAGAAGAGAGGCTTCCTGAATCTTAGCAGTGCTTCCAAGCCATAAGCACATAAGTACATCAGTACTTTGTGTGTTGGGATATATGTGCCTCTGGAATCTCTGTTGAATCAGTGGTTTCCATAAAATGAAGCCCAGAAACTAAGTCTCATACTACGGTGGTTATACTTGCTAAGAAATCATCTCATCCTTTATTTCCTTTTGGTATCCTCAAGGACAAACCTGGAACCAATTCCTTGGGTTTGTCAATTCTATGCTACCTGCCCTCATGTGGATGCCTGAACTTCTTTGACTGCACAGTGTCTGCCCCCATAAAGTGAGGTGGCCAATGATAGTACCAAGTTTGTGTATGGCATTAGGAGAATAAAATAAAATAATATAAAGTATTAAGTTCAAGATTTTAAAAGTGTTAGAATTCCATGCATTTGGATAATTATTCAAAGATCTTTATATTTCCAGCTCCTAAACCAGATTATTTTTATACATGAACTTGTACAAACACTCACCAGTGCACATATATAATCCAAACTAAAGATACTAAAACGATTCACTTGGGCACAGTGGCACATACCTGGACGAAGCTGAAAGATGGATTAAGTCCAACATTATAAGGCCTGCCTGTGTAACATAGTAAGATCTTATCTCAAAAACAAAACAAAAACAAAAAAACCATGGTTCCCTTAATTACAACTAGTGCCAGAACTATGTATTGATGAAAATTGACCTCACTGTGTAGGAAAAACAATAAGGAACCAATGGCTTATGTATTTAGCCAAGACCACCTCAACCAGTCAGCAGTCTGAAGATTATGAAGCACACTCCTCCAGTGCTTCCCCATTTAGGCATAGAAGGAGCACCAGAGAAAGCTTTGCTATGCTCAGTACCAAGCACAATCCACTCAGGATTTCCAGATCTTATAAAACAAGAAAAAAACAAAATAATACAAAACTCTACTGTATGACTTTTCTGTTGCCATGACAGAATATCATGATCACGACAACTTATAAAAGGGAGCATTTATTTGGTTTCCAGTGTCAGGGGGAAAGTCCATCATGATGGAGAGGCATGGCTATAATAGGCAGGCATGGCAGCCAAAGCTGGATGCTGAGAGATCCCTTCTTTAACCACAAGCACGATGCAGAGAGAATGAAGCAGAAGGAAGTGAGGCTATGAGCTCTCGAAGCCCGCCCCCAGTGACATACTTCCTGCAGCGTGGCTGCACCTCCTCTAAACTTCCCAAACAGTACCACCAATGGGGGACCAAGTGTTCAACTCTCTGAGATCATGGAGGACATTTTCTTCTTTAAACTGCCACATTAATGTTACATGCTTTCTCCATTCTCATAACTGACTCCCTTTATAAAGGAATTGCAGATTACACGCCATGCTTCAGGGTACACTGTGGTGTGTATGTGTGTGTAAAATAACAAATCAGCTGAGTTAAAATAACTGGCAATTGAGAGACCTAGTTGAATGTCCTTAATTGGAAGTTTCAGTGTTGAATGAGAAGCAATTTTAAGAGTCAATCAGTTTCATAGGGAAACTAGCACGTACACAAATGCACAATTCATCATGCCAAGAATACTTTCTTCTAGTAAAACTAATAGCCCAATTCATTAAAAAATGGAGGTTCAAGGCTCAAGTTGAAACTCTATAGGCTGAACAGGAAGTTGAAACTATATAGACTAAAAAACAAGAACAAAACTCCCAAATCAATGGTCTTAATGTGTGGGCCGAGGCCACAGCAGACAAGGCTAAACAAGCCCATTGTCTTGGTCTTTCCAGAAGACATTAAGGAGACTCTCCCTGAAATTGGAGAGGCCAGTGGAAAGAGATCAGAGGGTGGGGTGTAAACAGGATGTCCCAGGCCAGGAGATAAGTCACAGGCACCACAACATCTGCTGGCTCTGATTAAGGGACAACAAGAATGAAAATGAATCCTTGCTGAAAAAAAATGCTTATCCTGCCCTGCAAACAGCCAAGGAGCTATATGAGTCCTGGATACCAACCTGGGCCTCTTTCTGAATGGCATCAGAGGTATGGTTAGTGTGGATTTAAATACCAACACATCCGAACAGTAGGGGAAATGCATTGAAGCATGAACGGAATCAATTAAGGATCAGTAACCATGGGGGAAATAGACAAAAAGCCAAAATTTTCTACAGTAATTACCAAAGTTAAAGAATTCATTACTCCTAAAAAGGCAGGCTAAAAATATTAATCCATTCCAAAAATATTTAGGTCAATTCAGAGGTAACATATCCAAATGAAAACTAGGTTTTAGAGGGTGATGGGTTGGGGGCCCTGGGTTGGGATCTTTGAGAGTGACTGGTAGAGGGAGAAGTAATTATTCCCATGTATTTCTTCTCATCCAGTCTGGGCCCCTTTCATACGTTCTGTATTCTGGTGGCACCTCTTTCTTCTGTCAACCTTCCTAGCTTGCGTTTTGGACTTTTAAGTCCCATACATAATAAAAGGCCCCGATGAGAGCCACTGTGCTTCTGCCTGTGAGCCGGCTACACTGCTGGAATCTTCTTGCTCATCTTCCTTCTTCGAGCAGAGGCAGGGTATACTGTAATCTGCAGAACTAGGAAACAGATACAGTTTGCCCAAGGCAAGGGAGAAGGTGAGCTCACATCTCCCTTTGGCTTTCCAGAAACACTAAGTGTTCCCAAAGGATGAAGTATTGCCAAAGTGTCCTCCAGGTGGAAGTGCTGGGAATTCTCTACCATAGGCTATGGGGCCGCTGGGGAAGGCAGTGATTTCTGTAAACAAGAATCCATTTACAAATTCCCTTCTCCACCTGCACTCATGCCCAAACAAAACAAGCAAATGCTTTGCAATAACACAGAAAAGACACCAAGGATAGGATAACAGTATGGTTTTCACCAAGTCCTAAAAGAGACGACGGCTCTAGGACTGAAAGATATGCACACTTAGATTACAATACGGAGTGGGGAATGCATTAAGTGAGACTGTCCTTACTCTAAATTTTATAATGTAGGAAAGGAAGTCATGTTATTTGTAGGCTATGCCCTTAGCAAATTCTAACACAAAGACCACCTCTATGTCAAAAGGTCAGATACAGAGAGCTGCCTCCAAACATGGCAGAGCTGGCCCTGAACAGAAATAATGCAGTAATATAACCCTGGGAGGGAAATGTGTTTTCAGTTATACCAGGGCCGGGTCCAGCCTTTCCCACAGGCTCTTCCTAAATAGGAACTTGGCAATGGTAGAGCTGGAAGGGACGTCCTTGGCTTTAGAGGTGAGGCCCGTCAGGGTCCCGAGGAAAGTCAGGCAGAAGTTCTCTCTGCTGGTAATAACACTGAAGAATCAGTGTCACATCCATTTTATTAATTTTCTTGACAGGCAGATCCAGTTACCATGCAGGCACCACAAAATCAAAACATACGCATGTCAAGTGGCCCCATCTGTGGCGGGGCTCTGCCAAGGCCCATGTCACATCAACGCAAGGAAGCAGAACCCAGTTCCTCAGACCACGTGCTGGGTCCTATGAGCAAGCCTCTGCTGGAGGAAAACCGCCAGAGCTCCATTGAAAGAGCCAGGGCTGTTCTCTTGGTGACAGTTTGTTAACCTAGGTCTGGACTCCTTGGATTGGATTGAACAGACGAGTCCCGGGAGACATCTGGCTACATCTGGCTTTGGTGCCCCATCCCCAAACACAGCCACAAAGACCTCCCTGCTACTTTCATTTCTCTGCACTCAGTTTCGTCTAGGCAGGACAAAAGCAGCCTGGATTAAAGAAGACATTTAGAGGCACAGAGTGACTTTGTTTGTAAGTGGGTTTGAACTTGAAGTTCTGCTGAGCTGAGGTCTATGGGTACAGAATAAACACTAGAGAACATACTTTATTTAACTGGAGATGTTATTCACCATGAGCACTGCTACAGTTATGGAAGTAAGTCCAAGACAAGTTATTCTTTATGTCATACTATGAGAACTACCTATTGGCTAAATAACACCAATGACATGGGTACGAAGGACAGAGGCCTGACACATGCCAGCTCTAAGTAACACAATTCATAGATGTTGTGTGTTTCCTTGACTGCCCACACTCCAGAAGCTTGCTTAGTTGGGCACCTAGACTCATAGAGGCACCCAAGGCCCTGGGCCATGGAGAACAGAGTGAGTTCATTCTCCCTCCCTGAGTTGGTCCAGCAGCCATCTGGAGACTAGGAGCGGCTGCCCAGTGAGCTCTGACAGGGAGATGAACACATCCAGACTGCACGTCTCTTGGGGTGAAGAGTCGGTTCCTCTTCTCTCTCTCCATTCAAATAACCATGGCATGTCAGCCTTGCTGGCCTCCTTGATTGTGCAGAAGTAAATAAATGAATTATGTTGTTGGGGTTTGGGCTTCAGCACAAACACATGGTCTGCATTTATCCACACAGTGAGAGGTCCACCAGCCACTTGATATAAAAGAGGAAAATGATAATTCTTTTCTTTAGGCACTCCGGTGCCATATGGAATGTATATAAATCATATTTTTGTTTTAACAGCGGAGGCTTTGTTGATAGATAAACATGTGGTTTATCTAAAAAAAAGAGAGGATTGTGCTTTGAACAATCATTTAATGGCCATGGATGTGCCAAATAAAAATAAAAACATAATTTTGAAAGGAGCTGGCCTGGTTCCCAAATCTGTAACAAGGAATTTCTCCTCAAGCAGAGAAGTTAAAGCCCGCCGATCTGTTTTGAGTTTAAGCTGTGCGCTTCTCAACCCCACGACAAATGGAATCCTAGGCTAATGTGCTCTAATGAGACAAGACGTTACCTTTATGAATGACCTCATAGAGAAGAGGTTGGCAAGCATCGTGGAGAGGCCTTGAGCCAGACAGCTCTGGGCTATGAAACCCAACTTGAGCTCCGCGAGGCATATTGCGTCATCACCCTCTTTCCAATTCCAGCTGGGGATGTTGAGCAGATGGGCCTGTGGGAATAACAAGAGGTATGAGACCCTGTTCTGCTCCTTGTCTGAGTGTCTGAAATCTCCTCTGGGAACCGCTGCACTGTCCAAGGACACTGGGTCATCCAAACTCATCCTTTCTTCCCTCTGCCTGGGTCTGAGGCCCGGTACTAGGTTCTCCACTTCTGTTCAACAGACTGCGGCCCCTTGGCAACCTTACTTCTACACTCACCAGGCCCACATCCTCCTCTCAGGTTTGTTATTTAGCCAGATTCAACCCAGAGAAGATTTTTCTCTTGTGAGACACACCAGCCCCTGTTATTAAGAAGTCCAGTTAGCTTGTTTTTAAAGTGGTTCTCAAGTAGTATCAGATTGCCAGATGTCTGTGTCTGTGTACTCTTGGATTTCTTTCCTTCCTTCTCAATACTCCAAACCAACGGCACCCCAAACTTGAGTGGGTACCTGCACGCCCTGTAATATGTACAAAACCACAGGTTCTTGGCCCCACCCTGCTAAGTTTCTGCCTGACTACATCTGGGGTGGAGCTGGGGAGTAGAACCCGCAACTCTACAAATGGGAGGTAATGTTGCTTCTCTGGAAGCCACTGTGCAGGGAGCATTCCTCTAACTCATCAGGGCATAGACATCCTGCAGTCTCTTGCAGATGGACTGTCTGATGCCACCGTGACATCAGACCCCAACTTGCAGACCTAGAAGCACATTCTTACCATTATTTGCCAGTGGCATGCGTGACAGAGTGAGTGAAAAGGTTGAAATTCAGGAAGTTCTCTAGTGTTTGGGGATTTACAAACAGCAATAACAACAGAAGATAGTTACAAGGCTTGAAGGTCAGGAATAGCTTATGTTTAAAACATCAATTATATAAATTTGAAACAAGGAGACAGATCCAAGAGAGAGAGAGAGAGAGAGAGAGAGAGAGAGAGAGAGAGAGAGAGAGAGAGAGAGAGAGTCAGAGAAAGAGAGAGCGGGACATAGCATTTAAGGGTGGGTAACTCAAACCTCAATTAGAGGCTATGGGATATATGACACAGAAATCCCAAAGTCTGCTTCTTACAAATAGTCTCCAGAGCAAAGGAAATGAACCTTTTATTTTATGTGAACAGACCACATTCATTCCACGGGATTTGATCCAGTTTTAACAGTCAAAATTGAAGAGGGAAAGTGACCAATTGAATAACGGCCAGAGAAAAAGGATGAAGACAAGAGAAGGTGAGCGTTCTGCAAAATGATCTTTTGAGAACCAGTAAGAAGAGCCAGAAATCTCCAAGATTCAGTGGACACCATCCTCAGGGAGAGAGAATAGTCATCACATCTGAATGGCTCAGGTACTGCTATATAAAGATTAGTTTTGTCCTATTCTGTTCTTAGAGCCAGAATAGGATTGGCCTGGCTTATAATAAAAGGCTTTCTTTTATTGTAAGCAGAGGGGTTTGGCTTGTTTGACAAAGGAGCTTTCTAAGGATGAAATATGTCTAAAAAAATCGAGATGGCTGCTTTACAAATCAGCAAAAACAACAAAAAGCATAAGGTCTAGCTGGGCAGCATTGGTGCATGCCTTTAATCCTAGTACCCAGGAGGCAGAGCCAGGTAGATCTCTGTGAGTTGAAGACCAGCCTGTTCTACAGAGTGAGATCTAGGACAGGTACCAAAACTACATGGAAATACCCTGTCTCAAAAAACAACAACAACAACAAAATCACAAGGTCTTTATCCCTAAGACTTAGCATTTTTCCAAGATGCTAGAATAAATCATGCTTTGTACAGCACGTTGACCCAGAGTCCTTCTAAGTCCTTGTACATACCTAGGCTTTAGATTTCTCCCTGTGCATCAGCAAACAGGAGCAGCAAAAGAGCCCCCCCCCCCACTTCCCTTTCAGAACAACAGAGGCCAGTGCAATAGAAGAAGGGAAGATCCCATTGTAGAAACAAAGAACAGAGTCCAGGCCTCCTTGCTCTGCTTGGAGAAGTCCTACTCTTGTGAAATTCCTGCTTGCAAAATCCACCTCTGTGACAGTCTCCAGTCCCAAGCCAGCAGTGGTTACTGCTGGAAGTGATGATTGCTCGATCCCTAACCAGAGTATGGTTCAAACGGGCCTGTGTGGGAGGCACAGAGGAGTGTGATTTGTGTGGAGCTGAGTACCACAGGGTCTTCTACACATCACACACTCAATGCCAACAGATAACCCTACCCTCTTTCCCATTTCTCTCCCCCATTCTTTCCTGGCTTAAGACATCAGCTTTTTTTCATTTTACTTCCCTGGCATGGTATAAAAAAAATGTTCATCCGTGTGGAGAACTTCTCATATGAGAAGAATGATAAATTACATCCAAGTAATGAACTTGTGTGTGACAAGAGATTTGGGTGGTCTAGTCCCCAGAGAGAGAGAGACACCGCATAACCTCCATGGCATCTTCAAACAATTGCAGCTTTGTAGAAAGTCTGCCCTATCTCCATGCCGTGCAAAATAGACAGGTGGATCTCTCTTACATGTGGCATGTAAGCCTTGGGTCTCTCATGTCCCATGTAGAAAGTCCTGTTCATTTGCAGCTCCCACTGCCTCCTCTCTTGGCCACTGTATTTTCTCCAGCCATGGGGCAGGAAGTGAGGTTGAAGTGAAATGGCCAAGAGCAAAGGCTGTGTGCATGAAGCCAAGAGAGGATACTGACCCAGGAACTCAAATTTTGGAAACTTCACCCTCTTTGAGAAAAGTTTGGTGTGTTGAAAAAATACCAGCATTTCCACACAGGAATCTAGAGGCAAATTCTTTCTAAGTTGGCAAAGAGAAAAAACAGGTCCAACATTAATCATACCCTCCCCCTCCATTTATGTTACTGGACCACCTTTCACTTCATGGAGAAAGACTTTGAAAATGTGCCATCCTACGAAGGCAGGAGAAATGAATTCTGGTCACACTTCCTTCTCTTACTACATATTTAGCCTTGGAGAAATACTATGGAAAAAAAAATACAGTGAAGTCTAACAATGGACTTGGTAGTTTGCATCTTCAATCAATGTCCACTAAAGGAATATATGCTAACAGCTTCATTTCCAGGGTGGTACTCTCTTAGGAGGAAGTGGAACCTTTGGGAAGTAGAATTTAACTAGGGTCTTTGGGTCGTTGAGATCATGGCCTTCCAAGAGGCTATCAGGACACCAGTCAGCCCTGTCTTTCTGGTTCGAGGGGTATGAACTGATTCATTGTTTTCCACCAGTCTCTCCCAGAATGATGTGTTGCCTCATCACAAGCCTACAAAAACAAGGCCAACCCATCATGTCCCAAAGCCTCATTGCTAGAATGACAGAAAGCTGCCTGTGATGATTTGTGCCATCAACTTGACAGACTCTAGACTCATCTAGGAGAAGGGCTTCAGGGCATGCCTGTGAAGAATTATCTTCATTCTGTTAATTAAGGTTGGAAGACACACCCACTGTGGGTGACGCCATTCCCCGGTTGGAATCCTGGACTGTGTAAGTGGAGAAAGGGAGTTGAGTAACTGTGTGTATTCATCTCTCTACTTCCTGATTGTGGATGTGACATACTCATGCTACTTCAGATTCCTAGTAGCTTGACCTTCTCTCTCTGATAGACTCTGCCCTGAGCTGTGAGCTGAAACAAAACCCCCTTCATGTAGGTGCTTTAGTCAGAGTATCTTATAGATACAGGAAATTCTACAAAGGCAGTGATGAACACAACTATGTCCCATATGCCAGCAGAGACAATGAGGATGCTCAAAGACCTGGTGTATGTGACAGAGACTTGGTCTCCAGATCAGTGACAAGAAGCTTGGAAAATAAAAAAGCCATAACAAGTGAGTTAATAGGAATGATGCTTTTTTTCCTAGTGGGCCATGCATCATTCTGTCTTTGAAGAGCTTTAAACCATTTACCCACATGTCAGCCAACACACTTTTCCTTCTTCATTCAGAGATGGCCAGATTTTAAAAGTTCTCTCTGTGAAACATAGCCACGGTAAAGAGACCCATTTTGTAAAGCACCACCCTTCCCCCAGGAACCACAGTTTGGTTCTGCGGGCTCCTGTCCCATTTAAATAGAAGGTGGCAGTTGGCTATCCTGTCCTAGTTTGCTGGCTGCTGAGTGATGGTGATTTGTGCTCGCCAGAGTTGATCTGCCTAGGCTAGAGCTTCGACTCCTGCTAGTCTGAAGTTACACTGGGATGCTAAAATGCACAGATGGCCCAATGAGGACTAAATGAGGTAATGGATGTCAAGGCTCTTTCAAACCCATAAAACAGGACACAAATGTCTGTAATTGTTATGATGACAAACTCAAGGCCAGCGGTTTCCCTGCATCCCTCTAGGCTCTTGAATATCACCCTCATTACAGCATGGGAGTTTGACATTGTTTTTATTTCAAGCCTGGCGTCCAATTGTGGGAGCCGTTACCCGCTCCAGAATATGTTCTCGGTGGCATGGTTTTCACACAAACATCAGGTCTTTCCTAAGTGCCTGTATAAGTGGGTGAAGTTCTATGGGCATCTCAGAGGAGTGCAGAGAAAAAGCCATGAGAAGAACAAGGTGAAGGAAGAGAAGAAGTATGTGTGAAAGGGGTAGGTGACCTTAAACAACTGCAAAGCTACAAAGCAGGGGAAAGGACTGTCTATTCAAAAACCTACTAAGAATGATCTAAAACATAAAAACAAGAGGACGCCCATTCTAAAAGGGAGATGTAAAATAACTGAGGAAAATGCCCTTTGTCAAAGTTCTCTGTCACTGTATCCTTACTAATCTAACAGTGTTCTGAAAATGATTTTGCCTGACCCAGAAACCCAAGTAGAATGAGTAGGGCGGTTCTAAATAAGATGTGTTTTAAGCAAATAATAATGGGTCTGTTGATGTCTTCAACACAGTGTCTGAATGATGGCACTGGAAAATCTGTCTAAGATATTTGGGTGACTGTCCTCATGTGAATACTGACCAGGTACCATCTGGCTCTGAGGCCAAACAAGTTGCTTTGAGTTTGACAAGACCTACACAGCAGAGATGCTCTTTAATTTCTTGAAGATGCTACATCAGCACCCGTTGGAAAGAGAAGAAAAGGAACTGACATCTCTTTCTAAACATACAACATTAATTTTCCTCTTCAGTCTAAATTCAGCCAAAAATCTAAACAATCGCTTAAAGCACTCCCACACTAAATGAAATTTCAGATCACAAATGAAGGAAGGAGTGTTCCTTGCAGCAGGAGCTGTCACCAGTCACAGCCTCGCTAATAAAATTCACCTCCACCTACAGAGGCTGCCGTCAGGAACTTCTCCAGGTTGATGCCTCTGAGTTACCAATAGCCCCCTTATCTCAACCTTGAGCTTTCAGAGACAAACAGAGGAGTCAACTTCGGTGCCCACCACCAAACCCACTGACTGGAGAGTAACCGAATTTCCAATAGAGCCACCTGCTGAGGGCTGGGCAATGGTTGGCATTGGGCAGCAGTTCCAAGCAGTGGGCCAGTCGTTGACAGCAGGACCCACTCAGCAATGGCCTCTGATGGGCCTCCACACAGCAAAATGGGCCAGCACTTGCCAGCAATTAAGAAATAATGGCATGGTGCTGGTGGCATTTGGCAGAATGGGATTTTCTCGGGGACACCTGATGGCTTGTTTTGTAGAGAATATGGCCTATAAGATGAGGCATGCTGTCACACATAACCCTGCAGGGAGTTATTTCTGTTCAGACAGGACACCTGGCCCCAGGTACTGAGAAGCCTCCAGTTTTGAAGCTCCATTAAGATGACTGGTACCATGTCAAGGAGAACAAGATGCTACCTTCCCTCCTCCAAAGCTGTCGGGAGCTCAACCACCAGCCAAGTGAAGGAGTGCTGCCTTTGTACAAGAGACCTCCAGCTCTGTCTCAATGGGAGGTAATTACAACAGCAACACTAACCCTCCTGTTTGCCTTCTTTCTAACCAGACCCCACTGGAAGCTGCAACACCAGGAACATGACTGTAAGTATAATCTTTGGATAGACTACCACTTTCCCAAATGGAACTGGGCAGACTCCCATTCTGAATTTGAGGATAATGTCATGCTCTGCCTTCTCTGCTCAACTTGGTCACACAGAGAGAAATCCTATCCCTTATCTGGCACACTCTCTACACCTTACTGGATCAGTCTCTAAGGACACAAAATCAGATTTTATCTTCCCAGTTATCCTACCTCTTGAGTAGCAGAAAGAGTGTTAATTATAGAGTAGGTATTCAATAGTTATTGACTGAATAGCTACAGGACATAGAAATGCAACTTGTTGGAACTTAGGTATGGACAGGATCTAAGAACATATCAATATTTCTGAACCAAATGGTTCAATAGCTTCTTCCTGAGTGGATGAATTAGTACAAGAAGGCGACAAAGACACTTCCTCTCAATAACCCACCACAAAAAAAAAAAGAAGTTGATTACCCTGAAGAAATGTCCTAGGGAGAAGGGACATTTTAACCATTGCATGTTCTCTGCCAGACCTGGGTGCATGCATACATGTGTGCTGACATGCATATATGTGTATGTGAGGCTGTATGGAGAGAGAGAAGGGACTGGGGCCCAAGTTCTGAGGATGGCTTCAGGCCTGGAAGTCTCACCACCTACCTTGTTATGATACTGCAGCATCTGAGTTATGATCCTGATTTTCGGGTGGTAGTTCTTTATGGAGATCACTCTGAAAAAGAAAGAACCAGAACTGAAGCAGGCTCTGTGTGACGCACAGAGTATGATGGAGGAGGAGTCATTTGACTAGGCAACCTTGCCCAAGTCAGCAACCAAGGCCATCCAGGGGGCTGTGTTCAAAGAAAGAATGTGCTCTCCTCACCATACCCATTGGTGGCATGAAAAACAAGTGACAAAGGACCCACTGGTATATATTCCAGGCATTACAAACACCAGAGACAGGCAGAGCAGTAAAGTATAGTCTGACCACACCTCTTGATAGATGGAGTCTAGTGATCAGTCTCTAAGGCCAGACTTGACTACAGAGCAAGTTCAAAGCTAGCCTGGGCAACATGCCTTAAAAACAAACATGAAGGACTCCTGTGATGCCTAGGAGATGGAATATGAACCCGAATGGACTGGAGATGGGAGCTTTTGATGCTTACAGACAGGTAATGTAAGCCTAGACCGTAACTTCTGGAGGTCTGCAGTCTCCCACTCCCCAGTCTAAAAAAAAAAGAAAAAAACACCTCTGCTCTGTGTCCAGTTAACAACTTGAGACAATGATGACAGCTCAAACAGGCCACCTGACAAATGGCTCTGATTATCACATACCCTTTGGACATTCTCATAAATGTGATTTTTAAGCAGAACTCTTGGGATATGACCAAGGACTCTGTCTTCCACAGCATAATGAAGATTTGACCACTGGGTCAAGTTAAAAACCAGCACCCTAAATATATGGTGATCTGGTGGGAAATCTCCTCTGATTGCCCTTGGTCCTTTACCAAGCCTGGATGACCCCACCAGCCAACCTTCCCTGGCATCCCTTCTCCTGTCAATCACACCGCCAAAGGGGAGAAGTAAGGAGCCCATGAATGGAAACACCTGGCTTCCAGCACAGCTATTGTGCTAATGAACTGGGTGACCCTCCGGAAATCCCTGGGCTCTCTGTTCCTGTCTTCTCATCTGGACATTGGGGGCAACGGTACCTGCATTGTTTACTTCACAGGCTTGGTATGAGGAGCAAACGGGAGACCAGATGTTAAAATGCTTTGAAATCATTAAAGGTCCTCTCCACGTGTAAGCTATGGTTTTTGTCATTACCAACCCTGTCAGGGGTGACATTGTACATTTCCTTCTGTGACAAGGAAGGCTAAAGAATGGAATTCCAGAGAAAGGCTCACCTCCTAAGCCTCATCAGGAATGCAAGCGCAATTATCACAACCGCCCCCACAAACTTCCCACCAAGCTCTGCTCTTCCCTTTGCCACTTTTTCTGCAGAACTGCAAAGAAGGCAATCAGACAGCAGCTTCATCTGAAGAAACTGCAGCCCGACATGTGGAGAGAGGGTTCCCGAGAAAGCCTCTCTGCACACATTCACCCTGAGCTTTGCACCGGAAGGACTTCCTGTCAGTTTTGAGAGAGTGTCATGTTGGCCTCTGCTGAGATATAACTCGGGGCTTTTGAGCCTGTCTGTCTCTCAATGCAGCCCACAATGCCAGCCAGCTTTCTGCATTAGCTCATCTCAAATGGCTCTTTGACATTTTAATTTCAAAAGCAGCAGATTGGTCTCATTAATCTGAGGAGGAATATACAAATAAGAGAAAAGCTGAACCCACATTTAACCCTGAGTCTCCCACTTCCTTTTGGATCTTCCACTGATTCTCCTTTCTTACATTCCTAACAGCCCTCTGTGCCCAGTGAGTTCTATACCTTACCATCCCATCATTCTCCCTGACACCTACGTGTGCTCACAGTAACCCTTCATCCTCAGTTCCAATAAAATATTACAGTGATGAGAAATGCCCATTTCAAAGTTATCACACATTTCCATTTTTCACCACCGAGGAGAAATAAAAGTACACATGCCAGGAACTTCTCTGTGAAGTCAAAAACAAAAGTTTCACGCTCCTAGTTTCTTTGTTTGCAATAAAGAAAAAGTTGGAAACTTGTCCCTTAAAGGACAATTTTATCACTTCAAATGACAGGGGAAAAAATGTGTCAAAGGGTAGAAATGCTACTTAGTTCCAAAAATGACAAGGGCCACATTCTTAACTGAAGTGGACCTGTGTGGTCACTTTCCACTGAGGCCTGGTAGGAGGAGATGGGCTTGGGTGTGAATCCAGTTCCCAGTGCATCCTCTTTGCAGCCTGGCAAACCATGTCTTACTAGACTTAATGCACAAATTTCCTTAAAACATGGAATGGAGTCTATTGCCAAAGAAAAGTGACTGGAAGGGGAGAAGATCATGCAAGATGGTTTCTTCCAGACAGAAGGTCCAGATACTGACAGGAAGGCTGGATCAACCTAAATGCACCAGAGGAATCCCTCTGCCTCACTGATGGGAAGTCCATGTAACTGGTGAACACTAATTGAAACCAAGATGAAGTGTTCACAAGCATTGTAAAGACCCAAAAGCAATGTCCCAACTCTCACCTAGTGGTAAATCCTTGAATCCCAGAGAAGCAAGTTACAATTAGCATTTGGGCTATGTGTGGTCCAAATGACAGCTATTCACTATTAAGTAAGAGTTGTTGGGAATACAGTGGAAATGAAGTATTTCACTTAGTTCAGGCTCTCTCTAGAAGGTTCTCTTTATTATCTTCCCCTACCTTAAGTGACTATTCTGCAATTTATACCAGAGAAAAAAACAAAATCTAAAAGGATTTTAGCTAATGAGAGCAAAATGTTTGGACTTTTAGGTCATTTTTTAGATACAAGATATGATGACAGGTCTGTGGGAAGAACAATAGCTAAAGGAAACTTTTTTCTGAAATAAGAGTAAATTAAGGTCTTTAGAGTCAGGGTTAAAACTTAGCCTTTGCGAGGCCTAGTCCATGTGTAGAAAAGGCATTAACTATTAGTGTTCTAGATTTGTTTCTCCCCAAACCATGATCTGTTTCAAAACAAACAAATAAAACAAACATGAAGCGTGGGGACTTGGATCCATCTAGGATTAAGAAATAATCTATATAACTCAGTATCTCAGAGATACATAGTAATGTCAAAATCACTGAAGACCACTCATCTCGTCTCGGGAAACTGAGATAAGCTAATTAACCAATGGCTTCCAGAGCAATAATAATCAACCTGATGTAGACAGGCTGGGGATGTACTAACAAGGGGGTTCTTAGCCTCAGCTATTGGCATTTTGGGTCAGATAGTTTTCTAGATAGGGATTGCACTACGCATTGTGGGTAGTTTGGCAGCATTCCTGGCCTCTCTCCACTGGATCCCAGCAAGACCACCTGCTAGTTGTTTCAAATGCAAAGATGTTGAACATGTTGAAAAATACCTCCTGGAGGTGCTTTAAGACCCTCCCCAAGTAAAGACATCTTGGATCCAATTCCTTTCAGATATCATAATTTTTTAAAAAATGAAAATTTAAGATTTTATGGATATGAATCTGGGGTGGAGGGAGGCATGTAATGCCACTTGAAGGCAGAAGTCAGCATTGAGTGTTGTTCCTTAGATGTGGATCACCTTGGCTTTTTGAGACAGGTCTCTCGGTGACTTGGAACTCACCCCATCAGGCTAGGCAAGGTGGCCTGTGAGTCCCATGGATCTGCTTGTCTGATTCCTAGGATGCAAGTGTGCCCCTTATGTCTCAGGTTTTAAAATTGGTTCTGGGGTTTAAACTCACGTCCCTCCACTTACACCATGGCACTTTACCAACTGACTCATCTCCCCAGCCCTGAGAGTAGGGCACTTTAACTTTGACCTGGACCTATCTTTCCTTTCCTAGTTCTTTCTTTAGGAATCTGAAACCCAAGAGCAACTCTGAGCATTAGTCATGCCATCTGCTAACTCAGAACTTCCTGTTGGTGGTACCCTGTATGTCAACACTCTCTTCAGCTCCACCAGCTGCAGACAGCAGCCATTGTTGACTGGTATATGAAGGAAATATGGTCCACAGAGACAGTCCTAGCAAACCCAAAAGAGGGTGCATGTAAGCTATTGGGAGACCAATCCTGGGCCTTCCTCAGTACCTGATTCCCTAAGTTACCTCATGATGTTGGAGGCATCTTCTGCATCCGGGTCAGCGCAGTACTTATTGGCAAGGATCAGGCACGCATCTGCTGACTCTATCTGAGAGACCAAAAGGAAAAATCATAACAAACACAAACATATAAATAGACTCAACTGCAGTCTCTCTTTGTTGAAAACATTTTGAGAAGCTGGTATTTTGCAAGGAAAGGACAAAAAATCTTAAAAAAAAAAAAAAAAAAAAAAGTTTTGTCAAATGTGTAGGTTGCAGGTCAGATCTTTCTTATAGGGTAAACATTCCAGTGTGAACCTGCGTAATGATACTCTTCATTTGGCCTGGCTGCTTACAGGCATATTTGCCAAAGTCCTTCAAGTTCACTTAATTAAGCCATTCAATCTCATTCCCACTTCCTCTTTCCACTGTCTATACAATCATCCTCATTTTCCCAGCCAGGAAATAGAAGTCGCTGGGTTAAACCCCTTCCCTCAGGTTAGGATGTGGACAAAAACAGTTGCAGAGTCAGCAACATAGATGGGATCGTCAAGGGGCTGGAGAGAGGACTCCGTGACTAAGAACACTTGTTACTCTTGCAGAAGATGGAAGTTCCATTCCCAGCACCCACGTGGTAGCTCACAACCATTGAAAACTTCAGTTCCAGGGCATCTGACTCCCTCTTCTGGCCTGTAGGCTTCAGGCCACAGGAAGTACACATACATAAATGCAGATAAAACACTCATACACATCAAATTAAAATAAGTAAATCTTTTTTAAAAATCCTTCATCAAACCTTATGCACATTTTCATTGTGTGTGTCCCAAGAAGAAGCTGGAGCCTTAAACAGACAACGGCTCAATGCTGTTTACTGTTCGTTACTACTCAGGTATTCAAGAGACAAATAATTTATATAAATGAAATGATTCTTTGCAGATGGATCCAAAAGGCAACCTACTGACTTATCTTAGTGTGAGCCAAAAGGGAGTTTTTGTTCCTTAGAGGGACCATGAGTATGATGTGCTAATAATTGCTTGCATTTAAATTAGGCCTGTGAACAAGAGCCATTTTCTCTGTCCTTATGACTTGGGTCATGTCTGGATAAAATTAAGATGAACTAGCTACATAAGCACGAGAATTCGCATGCTGACCTGGGTCTGCAAGTCTCCTGCTCACAATGTTGTACTTACTAGATTGTTCCAGCATTCAGTAGGAGGGCCGTGGCTCTCTCCCTGGTATGTCACACACTGTCTCTTGATTTCTTTAGCAATGTAAAGAATTCACACAAATCCTTCTGTATTTTCCATGTTTGCTGGTACAGCAATTATGGAACTCTTTGGTGACCACAGTTAGCATTTAAACTTCCGTGGGTTCACACAATATCAATGAACTGCCACTGGCACACAAATGTTGCACACACTCACAAAAACTGTGTTAAATGAAGTAGCAGATGACAGCTCACTTTCTTTTCTAAAGCTGTGTGCCTTTCTTTTCTAAAGCCTTGCTTGTGCTTTATGAGAAGATGCCAGTTCAGAAGAGTCCACGAAGAACACTGTTAGCTTATTACCAAATAATGTGAAGTCTGGGTTTTTTGTTTTTGTTTTTGTTTTTTTGGAAAAAGGAAGCCCAAATGTTTTATAGCTTTGTGTAATTTTCTTTTCTAACATTTCTCTCAGACATAATTAATGGATTTGAAAGCTTATTGAGTTCCATTAGATGAAAACTAATCATTTGTGATGTTACATTGTACATGGCTTTTTATCCATTCAACTTTAATATTTTTTACTTTTATTTATTATAGAGTGGAGTATAGAAATCACCCACTATTATAGAGCTGGAGTTATTCTATATGTTTGAGTCCAGTAGTATGCTTTATGAAACTGGGTGGACCAGAGTTTGGTGTATACATTTTACTATTATAAGAGTTTCTTGGTTGATTGCTCTCTTGATTAGCACAAAGTGTCTCTCTTTGTCTCTCCTGGTTAATTTTAGTTTGAGGTCCATTTTGTGGGACAGTAGGATACGGGCACCTGCTTGCTTCCTGCTCCCATTCACTTGGGATGCTTCTTCTATCCTTTCACTTTAAGGAGGTGGCTCTCTTTGAAAGCTAGATGAGTTTTGTGTAGACAACAGAAAGATGGTTTGTTTCTTAACACAGTCACCTACTTTGTGTCCTTTGACTGGGGATCTGAGGCTCATACCTCATATTTCAAGTTGTGATTGAAAAGTGTGGTTATTGCTGTCACTTTGTTCTTCTTTCTGCTGTTTGTGTTCTTAGTCCTACTTGGTGTTTCAGTAATTGCAGCTTCATTTTTTCTTTCTATGGCTTCTTGCAAATACCTATTCCTCTTTCACTTGTGTGTGTGTGTGTGTGTGTGTGTGTGTGTGTGTGTGTGTGTGTGTGTGTACACATTAAAATGAGAGGACAATTTGTGGGAATTGGTTCTCTCCTTCCACCAAGTAGGTCCTGGAGCTCACACTCAAGACAACAGGCTTTGCATCAAGTACCTTTACCCACTGACGCATGGGGATGAGATAGCCCCAATGTAACATTTGAGTCCTACTTTGGGAGTGGCTGATTTAGAAGAAAATAGAGAAGTATATTCTATATTAAGACTAACCTAAATGTGAAATACTTGTAGATGGTCTAGTGTGGACAAGCAGAGCAAGGTCCTGGGGCCAATGAAAGAGTGTCCTGGGGTTAGTAACATCTGAGTTATCTAGTTAACAGGTTAGAAGATGGCTCTTGGCTGCCCTGGGAATCATGGCCCCAACTCTCCAGAAAAAGTACAAACATTTATTTCTCCTTACCTTGACTCTGGCAAGATCGTGTGGATTGAGGACGGAACCCTGATAAAATTCCACCTGAGTAAAATGTCGTTTGAACAGAGCCTCAAGCTCAAGGTTTGGGGAGATGCTGTATAGACAGATAAGAAAATTGTTAATACAGTGGCGATCTCAGGCTCTGTGGCTCCCTTGGTTTTAATTTCCACATAAAGACCTGAACAAAGGCTCTAACCTTCTGAGAAACCTCCTTCCCTGCCCTAAATAAAAGACTCATATTTAAGAGAAGTAAACACCACTGAAAACCAAACCCAGAGGTCTCTGGCCTTACAAAGGTTGGGGCTGATGTGGTAAAGTCTCTTCCTCATTGTTAACCACTAGAAAAGACAGAGCTGTGGCATCAATGTGATTGGTCATTATATATGTCAACTTGACTGGGCCACCTTGGAAGGGCCGGATGAAGGTGATTTCCAGGTATGTCAATTTGGAGATGGCAGATTGTGGGACTTGCCAGCCTCCAGAACTGAGGAAGCTAATGTCTTACCAAGAGTCTTTCTCCATATAGGGTGGGTACTGCCGATGAGTAAGTGGATTTATATGGAGAGATCTGTCCTTAAGTCAACTGTACAGCCCAATCAGGTTTTCCTTCACAATAAGGAGCTGACATTTACTGAACATTTTCTGCATGCCTAACTGGGCTCTGCACAGTTCACATAAATTGATTCGTTTCATTCCTTTTTTTTTTTTTTTTTTTTTTGGTTTTTCGAGACAGGGTTTCTCTGTGTAGTCTTGATGCCTGTCCTGGATCTCACTCTGTAGATGACCAGGCTGGCCTCGAACTCACATAGATCCGCCTGGCTCTGTCTCCTGAGTGCTGGGATTAAAGGCATGCGCCACCACTGCCCAGTGATTCATTTCATTCTTACAACACCCCAAGGAGACAGAATATCTCCTCTGTTCACGGGCGTGAAAGCTGAGGCATAGGGAAGTAACTTGCCCAGCCAGTCATTGGTTAAGTCAGGATTCAGGTTAAAGATGCACTTGGCACTATGTCTATTGATTAAATGAAAATCCACCTACACAGAGCCGGCCTCAGGCACCACACAGAGACTCAGTGTAACAATAGTGTTAATATGCCTAGTACACTGTGTGATAGTTAATACTGCCAACTGGATGGGATCTAGAGTCACCTAGGAGACCAACCTCTGAACATTTATGTGAAGGATTATCTAGATTGGATTAAGGGAGGTGGAAAGATTCATTCTGAATGTGGCAGCACCATCTTTTAGCCTGGGGCCCAAACTGAATACAAAAGGAGAAAACAGACTGAGCAGCGCCAGCATTCACCTCTCTCTGCTTCCTGCATGCAGACTCAAGGCGAGCTGCTGCCTCGCGCTTTTAATGCCATGCTTCCCATGCCTCTGTGGACCCTCACACTGCAAGCGGAAGTCAACCATTCTCTCTTTAAGTCCCTCTTGTCCTGTGTTTTGTTACCCTGCTTCTTCTCATCTTGCGTGGTCCCTCTGCTGCCTTGGGAAACTATCCACACCATCACATTCATTATCCCACACCATCACATTCACTATCCCACACCAGCACGGCAGACACACCTGATGGCACAGGTCCACCCTGATGACGGGACATGAACGGTGACTTGGATCCTAGTGAATCTCACTGTTTGGTATTTCAGAAAGAAACTGAGATATGGTCCCAGACCACCTCCCTGGAGTCGGCTTCCAACCCTGGACTAGGATGTTGCTTCACCCTCCAAGGGTTCTAAACCAAACTGTGGAAAGTTACCTCTTACCTAAGGAGCCAGCAGGAGCCAATTCTCAACCACCTCCATCTCCACCACACCTACAGACACTCAGACAGAAGCACATGGTTGGCCAGAGGCCCTAGTGACAGCAGTGGGGGTGTGGTGGGGTAGGGAGTCTTACTTGTGAAGAAAGACGATCTCCACGTTGACATCATCCCGGTCCTTGTGCAGAAAGTCCTTCAGGAAGTTAGAGACACTCTCCAGAGTGATGTGACCACAGACTACAATGTGCCTGTATAGGAGAGGCCAGTTAGTTCCAGCCAGACCCAGGGACACGACCCCACATCCTGATCCCTGACAAGGCAGCAGAAGTGAGGCGGCTGCAAGGGGAACATCTCTCCCCACCCTCAGCCCCTGTCAACCCAGTGCCCATCCCCAGTGGGTCATGAGGCAAAGCGATGGCGCTAACAGTTGCTCAGAGGCTCCTGGACAGAAAAAAAGCATATGGCTGCTCACCTGATGCTGCACAAAATCCTATTAAAAGCCCAGCCACTTGGCCAAGTGGTTTTATGCATTTAACAATAAGTGGCATTATGCTTGTGCTTAAATGCTACATTATCAAGTCCCTTGCAGATTCCTATCTCTCCCTTTCTGCCCACAAAGCGTCCTCCTGGGAGATTTACCGCAGCAGTCTTGGTTTATGACATACAGCTTATCAGGTAATGAGATAACAAATCTTGCTGAAACGATGATTTTGTGTGTAAGAAAGCGGACTTTTATCAGGGTGGCTAATGTGCGGCTTGACACGTTATAGGCTCGGCTGGCCATAAGCAGTAAAAAGGAAATTTTGCATTTTTCTACCATAACTTCTCCCACAATGGGGGCATGTAACACTTTACAGTAAGTGAGCATTACTCAGGGCTAAATGGAGATGGGATGCCCAAGGAATGGAAGATCAAGCTGCCTGCTGTGGCTGGGTTCCCAGAGGACTGCTGCCTCAAGGTGCTTGGGACTTCCCCCGAGAGCCAAACTAATTCACCTGAAGACCTTACAACAGGCAGAAGCCAGGGAGACATGAATGTGAACATGCTGGCTTTGTTCTAGGCTGCTTCTGACTTTTGTTTCTAGAAATAGCAGCTCATCCCCAGGAAATGAGGTCCTTTTCCAGAACATTTAAGACCTCCAGCCTCTCCAAGAGCTATTCTTCCTGAAACAGTGTGACCTTAGCGTCAGACCATCCTGGGCTCACTTGCAATGGCTTCACACTGCTCAGTCACAAGACCATGCTCTGAGAACTGGCCTCAAGAACAAAAGCAGCTCGGCTGCGCAGCTACAAACATCAGCTTCTAGCAAGGACACTGTGCTAACTGGCCCAACTCCCACCACCCCACCCTGCAGGCTGACAGAGGGTAGATCTCTAATGTGTTTTAAGACCGGGCCAGGTGGTGAACATGCCGTAAGGCAGTTTCCCAGGAAAACTTCAGAAGACCCAAGTCCTTTACCCTTTATAATTGCTCTGTTCACACTGTAATATGGCAGAAATCTCATTGGCTGGAGGCAGCTTATAATAAGAGGCGGTGATGATGGTTTATGCAATGTCCCATTAGACGTCATTACAAGAGCCTGCCCTTTCGTGGCAATTTGGTGCTCCACTAAGTATGTGAGAATAATGCGGTAAACTCATTGGGGAAAAGATAATGGTGCAGAACAAAGAGTAAATCAATAATATGCACGATGCAGTTAATAATATGACCATTATGGACTGTTATTGTTACGGTGGTGCACTTAGCGATCAGGCAAGCCATGGTCATGAAGGGGAAGGAAGAGCGGCAGTAGAGCGTCAGAACATGATCATATCGCCCCCTCAACAGCATCGGCTGGGGTGGGGGGAGGGGGTCACTTAGCCCCTCACCCACATTTCATGCCCAAAGCCCTGTATCACTAGCCCCTTCCGACTCTAAGGCTGTAAAATACACTGTGTATCTGAATTCATGAAATAAACAGACTACTTGGACTTTCACAGTTTTTCTCATATCTCAAAATGTTTCTCGTGGTAGAAGCATATCTACAGACAAAGCATAAGTAAGTATGCATGTTCTGAATGAGATGTATGATTCTGAGTTGGCAAGCATGTCCACGAAGTGAGCGAGAAAGAGGATTTTCCTCCTGACCTGAACTCCACACAAATGACAAAGGTGTTACCTGGTGCATTCTAACATGAAGACACCAAGATGAAGAAAGTGCCGACAGGAATCCAACTCGTGGGGGGTCTCTACAGCTGAAGCTATGTCTTGGGTGAAAGAGCAAGCCAGATGAGCAAGAACCCAAGCAGCCTGCTGTGATGCCAAGGAGAGGCGATCCCAGACAAGCTACTTCTTCTAGTCTACAGAAGGAGAAGCTGAGAGGTCAATCCCAGCCAGCCAGCCAGCCAGCCAGCCTCTGCATCAGATATTGCAAATTTCCAAGTTCTACACTGGCATATCCCTGGTTATGATTCACAGCCATACTCAAATGAATGGTGGCTGGAGACAGCTGAACATTCACCCTTCCTGTTCTGTACGCAAAGGACGCAGTGAGCATCTGACAGCATGCCCCCTCCCCCTCCCCCCGCCCCGTTGCTGGTGGCTGCTCTGAAATCATTCATCCTAAGAGACTAAGAGAGAGATGTGTGAAGTGGAAAGGGAGGAGATGAGCACCCTCCCACCCCCAACACATCACCCTTGAATCAAAGGTTCAGCCAGTTGATTTATTCAGCCTTAGAAAATGTCAGGGTTCTATTATTTGAAAGTGTGTCGGGTACATATAAAATATATTCCAATGTAATCAATATTATCCCTTAAGCCTTTAATTAGCTTCCACTTCTCTTAAGAAGTAGACAAATGCTGGCAGGGGAGAGGAAGGGGTAAAAAGATTGACTGTTTTTTTTTTTTTTTTCATTTGGTGCTAGCTGTCCGATACCATGCTAGACAATTGAAAATATATATCTTTTAGCTACAGCATGATTTCTGGGGTGGAGAACAGTCCTTATCAAAAACGGAAGAAAAAAATCTTCCTTCAACGTAATTGGTATTTTTGCTCAGAAAAAAAAAGGGGGGGGGGTGTCAGGGGGAAGGAGATTGATTGAAAGCAGATTGCCTTTTTGCCCAGGGAGAGTTATTAGGTACATTATCGTGGCAACCTTGAAGAAGCCATATTGTTCCAATCTGCCCTGTATCTGATTTGAAGATTTACAGCCTCCCCGTTTTGTGCCAATAATCATTTCCCTCCATTTTGTTTTCCATACAATGGAAGTTATCAGGGAGCCTACATATTGAAAATGTTTGGATGTCGTCAGAATTGATGGATGGTGAGATGTTGCCTCTCGAGCCCTGTGGCAGCATTGGAAGATCAGCCATGGCGGCCCATGTCTGAGGAAGCCTCCGATGCCCTATGGGAGCATGAGGAAAAGATGGCAAATGGTGAAAACACTTGAAAATCCCTCAGGCAGTAGTTTAGGGGAGGATATTGTTTCAGGAAGAAAAAAAAGTCACAATATTTATTATCTCATCTATTCAAAATATGACTGAATATTTTATGATGAGAGCAGAGGACTGGCTCCTTGGAGGCAGCGAATATTCATGGGACATGTTGAGGAAGGTCAAAAGATCCCTGTCCAAAACGATCTCTGCTGACTTCCACAACACCTACAGACCTGCTGGGTAAGATTCATACTCTGATGTCAGACACTAATTAATTAAATAGTCTCAGACAGGTCTCACCAATTTTTCATTTTAGGAGCAGCATTCAGAGCTTTAGAGGCACTGAAAACAGCCCTGTGATTCATGAGATTGTCTCCAAGATTTCCTTAGGTAGATAATGCACAGATGGGCCCAGCCAAGGAGCTCGCTGTCAGCATTCTAACATGGTAGGGATGGTGTGGCATCTTTACATCAGCACGTAGTAGTGTGTGGCTGATATAATTCCATCTAATCCTCAAACAACTTCACGCTCTTACCATAGCATATCTTTAGATATCCCCTCTAAAGCTGTTTCTTTGAGAGGCATTGCTGATGCTCACAGGAAGTAAAAGGAACTGAACCAGGATGTAGTCCGGGTGTGAGATTCTAAAGCTCATGGAGATGAAGCTGATAGGTTAGGATTTCTGCTACCTCTCAGCTTCTGCTCCCTCAAGACAGACAGGATTGGTCGTTGTGTGGTAGAGGAGGTATTATAGGAGTTCTTGGAGGTTCAGAGAGTTTTGTTATGGGAATGGGGTAGACAGAGATGAACTTAAGACATCACAGTTTCCCAGCATCTATAGACTAGGCTACACCTGATCAGTTGGCCCGGATGGCTCAAGGAGACAGAAACTCAGTAACACAGAACTCACCAACAGCACTGTTCATTGGCTCTAAACTACACTTCAACCTTAGTAGTACAGTTTAACAAGCCTACAAAGGAATGGAAATATCTGTACCAGATTTGGCTCTACTGTGGAGCTGAGAATCCCCCCGCCCCCAGGATAATAAAGAGATGGCCCATTTACAGAAAGTGCTAGTTAAGTGCTAGTTAGGATAAGCCATTTTTATCTTCAGCTCCAGCCTCTTTTGAGCCCAATGTTAAGCTTTATGCCTGGATTCTATGTGGTCTGGCCACTTGGACTGTGAAGACAGACAACAGATCTAAATCAATGACCATTTCTATTTTAATCTCATGAGATTTGGGGGTCGTACAAAGCTTGATTGAGTTTGATGAGCAGATTATTTCTGAGACAAAGGTAACATAAACATAAGCTCATCTCAGATGTAAAAGGAAGTATCTTAAATATTAACACACTGGTAGCAAATGGAACTTGGTGGAAGGAAGTCATTTATCCAGGACTGATGCCGAGTAAGGGCTCCAAGCAGTGGGTTAATTAGGGATGGGTAGCATAGGTAGGATGTAGAACAGCTAGGGCATCTCATGGTTAAGCGTGATTTCATAATAAAAGACCAATATGTGACTACAGTGAACTCTCAGGGGTAACTGAGACATTGCCACTCACTTATGCCATGGGCTCATCATCACCAAACATTTATGACTGCACTCCCCCTCCCACTAGCACTTCTACCCCTAGAATGCAGTTACACAAGTTCTCCCCAGTCACTCTACTTCCGTTGTGGTGGTGGGCCAGGAAGGCCACCATTGCTGAGTGAGTGGCAAGCTGTAGCAGAAGTCAATTCCATGCCTGCATTCTAGGGTGTCCTCATGGCAAGAGTCTTAAGAGGAGGACAGGGCTTTTCAAGGCTTGGGTGATGGGGCACCAGGGAGTCA